TACTTTTTTAAATATCTCCTTTCAAAGAAAAAGTAAAAATCTCTCCAGATAACTTTTTTGCATGTGTAAAACCATACATCATGAATGTTTGGAACGTAATATTTCTCTCAGGATTTGGTATGGTTCCATCGTTGTTTTTATTTGTTTTTTTTTTTTAATATAATAACTTAGATTAAATGAAGTGAACATATCACTTTTCTTTGATTCATTTGTTTCCTGTTGGTTAAAATTTTGACAGAAACATGAATTTCTCGCTTTCAAAGGACAATGCTCTTTTGTTTTGTAGCTGAAAATGATTAATTGTATCTGAAAGGTGTCTGAGTAGCAGAGCTTTACTGCATTTTTTCCCCATTTCATAACTTTTCCAACCATTCTGCGAACGTCATTGACTGAATAGTTGCATGCTGCACGTTACTGCAAAATAAGTTCAATTCTGAGTACACACTTTTACCCGACGAAAAAAGAATCATGATTACTTAATGAGGTGTGGAACGAAAATAAATATATGTGGCCATCAATTTTAAAACTTGACATGAATGGTCATAGTGAGATCGATGAAAGGAACAAAAAATAATACAATGTAACTGTTGGGGATTTTGAGCCACAATTACAACAGATAAAAATTGAATCTAATTCTGAAGGATAGTCCAGAAGAAATCAGCATGGTAACAAATTAATTTTCATGCAGTCTCCAAAATTAGATAAATTATATAATTAGGTTGAATGTAAAAAAAAAAAAAATGTCACTTTTGATCAGGATAAATTAAAGTAATTATTGATAGTTGTTTGCCTATCCTTGAACGCCATAAAATGCAATAATAAAAAAAAAAAAAAAAAAAAAGAAATACTGAAAGCAATATAAACTTTCTAATTTCTATTGTAGGGATTCGGTAAAAAAAAAAAATCAAAAGGCAGCCTATGAGGATTTGTAATGTGTTTTCAAATCTTGCCTCTTATCATAAATGTTGAAAGAATAAAACAATTATTTAATATTATACTTTACTTGATCAAGGTATAATTTTAAAACTCAAGGCATGAGGAAAATCCTTTTTTGAAGTTAAGTGCTTAAGATCTTATGAATCTTGATTTCAAACCATTTAAAAATCTTTAACAAAATATTGAGCAAACATAAAGTAAAAAAAAAAGGCCAACTAATTTTTCCTTGATTTTTTCGTTTGTCCTATCTTGACAAGGGACACAAGACAGATCTTACAGGTCGACGGGGCATGCTCACTCACCTGTGTAACTTATACCCACTTTTCATTTTAGAGGTTTCGTTTGCTCTGCGAAAATCTACAGGGTTTGTTTGGACTCCTGTTTGTAAGCTTCACACTTCATTGACAAGAGAAATTGTTTTGTTCATTAAAAGATGTCTTTAAAAGTAAACATGTATTGTGCAAATGCTAATGCACATAATCTGAAATGTAGCAAGGGTAAACATCTGTGAATGTCAGCTGAAGAAACATCTTGTGAAAATAAATACATTAGTAAATGATTCCCTGTACATTAAAAGATATTGAAAGATTTGATTCTTTTTAAAATCAATGACCAAACGCAGAATGGAAAAAAAAAAAATCTGAATCCTGTGTGACTTGTATAACAAAGAACGTAAAGTACAAAGCGGTGCATTTACAACTAAAAGTTGACTCTTGAATTGAGAAAACAAATTAACCAGCTACTCATTTGTCGATATGTCACATATTAATTGAATGACTCCAAAGAATGTCCCACGATTCCAATATTATGTGTTTACATTTGTTTTGTTTTAAATCAATTCTCTAATTTCCAGCATTCTTTCAATCAATTAAAGAACAAGGAAAACATACTTTATATGTAGCAGTGAAACCATCTGTGAAATGTTCAAATCACTTTATATTGAGTGATCCCGGCATGTGTTCAATGATTAGCATTAGTACACAGAAAAAGGCGTGAAGGTCTGTAAAATTCTGTTCATGGAACACTAGAATACAAAATTCTCAAACAAAGTTTTGTACAGGAAAATATAAATATAACGGGAACTTTTCCACATTTTTATCACAATTCACATTTAAAAAAATTACTATAGTTAACTGCAATGCAAAAGTAAATACTTTGGTGTACTTTAGTGAAATACAGATTACTTAGCATCTCTTTATTGTTACAATGGGTTTTGAATGATCATAGTTTCTTGTCAAAAACAATATACTTAAATATATTGAAAGATAATACTAAGAAACGTACTGCTTGATATCAAGGTTTTTTATGTATAAATCTCCAAGTAAAGGTTAATATCAAATCTGTAATCCTTTAAATGACGAAACGGTAAAAGGTTAAAAAAAACATATTTAAGGGCTAATGGATGAAAAATAAATGTTAATCTTCATTCACGTTTTCAGATATAATATGGCAAAGTCCTGATGATTGTTTTGTTTTGAATTTAACTATATGTTATACTCTTTGAATTTACCAGAGAAAAGTTAACAGCACCATTTTGTGGAGCGAAGAGCTCTTGATAGAAGAGTCGTTATTGAAATTACACAAGATAGATCATTTTACACGCGAGAACGGAATACGCCCTGTTTTTTTTTTTTTTTTTTTTCTTTTTAAAATCAAGGAATAAAAGTAGTTGAATAAATTGAAGTTTTAACAGTTAATAGTTATTAAAGTAATAAAGTTTATGAAGATCAGTATTAAAATCTAAAACAGTATACCACTGCATACAAACTACATTTACAGAATAAAATTTGCAACAATTTTTGCATATCATAGTTAGGTTTCTTCTTTTGTGAGAAATGCCTTTACAAACATCACATCTTATTAAAATATAAATGTTTAAGCCTAGTTCATTATTTTACTAAGTGTGGAATCATCAAAATTCGTGGTGCCAATTTTCGTTTATTGCCTAAATTATACAGGTTCATGGGCCCATGAACACTTGAATGTCGTCAAATAACTTTTCATACTAGAATATTCTGCCCGTCTTCTTGAATTATGTATTTTTTTTTTATTACTGAAAAGAAAAATTATGAAAATTTGAAAAAAAAAAAAATATAAAGTAATTGAAGAAAGATGACGTTGTTGATACATTTTCATCTTCTTGTTGAAAATTCAGTGTTTAGGCATTTGTGTAGCAAAAGCTGTGAAAGAAAGAAAATGCACACAAATAAAAGCAAACATTTGTCTGGAAATCTGACATTACTATCAAATTGGCATATATAAATGAGTTTGATTTAGAATAATATGTCAATTTTGTATTAAACAAAACTGTTACAATCTATTGATACAATTTCTATATGTAACAAATAAAGGAATATCGAAGAGGTATTCACTATATGGAGAGAATAAAACCTAGGAAGTTCGTGTGATGTTCAATTTGGACTCCGTATTGCATTGTTATCCTCTCACCGGACACTTAAAAAATATACCAAATTCTAGAAATTCTATTTTTTTGAACGTGGAAACATTTTTATTCCTGTTGTTGATTCAGAACAGACAAGGGAGATAAATGTGTTATATGAAATGGATGTGCATTTATTGCTTTTTTTTTTTTTTTTTTTTTTTTTTTTTTTTTTTTTTTTTTTTTGAATATTAGGCATGCTAAATATATTTCTGTTTTAATTTAAAAAAGTTACTTTATAACACTTTGTATGTCTCTTTACTGTAACATTTTTTTTTTCACAATAAAACAGTAATAGCTCATAGAAATATTTGTAGAGAAAAACATTCATTTTATCCATTATAAGTAAATATATTTAGAAGCACTTGAATGAATAATAATAATAAGTTATCGAGCACTTTCAGTACAAGGCATATTAAAAAAAGTTCAGTAAAAAAATGTCCCCGTTTTCCTACCCGGTCTAATTAGTTGGGTGCAATGATTTTTGGCATAAAGTAACAGACCCGTCTGACGCGGTATGTCTGTCCACCATATTAAAGTGGTTTGGAAAGGAAATAAAACAAAAGTTTACTAAATTTATGCACTCAAGTGCAATATAATGTAAATTTGTAACATTATCTGACTGGGATCTTTATCAAGAAGAAATTTTGGAATGGTATTCAATCTGAATACAAAAGTAAGATAAAAGTGATTAAATTTTGATAAAACGTCTGTCAAGGAAGTAGATTAGTTCACTATATCTCCCATAAAATGCAATTGAATCACATTAGCAATATTAAAATTACTTAGTCACGTGAAAAAGCGTACTCACAAAGTATATAAGGTTTAGTTTGAAATACTGATAGTTATAAAACTTATATGCAGTGTAAACTTGAACATGAACTTAAGAAAGATTGTTTTATTCTCTCTAACATTTATTTATCATATTAGAGCTGCCAAAGGAGATTGCAACCCGTATGTATCTGATCATTAATAACTTATGTATAGATTTCCAGTAGTTATAATCAACAATACATGTATCTATAGAACTTAAAGTATATTTTTTAATGCAATAGTTCGTGACAGCTAAAACTTTTTAAATGCCATACATGTTAATATCATCTGTTTCAATTTTGATAAATGTATACCTTTTCAACATAACTTTAAATTGTAGAGATCATGAAAAAAATTGCTGTCAAGGATTTTTCTTTGATGAGATTTCAAATGAATGCAAAGGTATTTAGAGAATTTATATAGGCATACATATTTTATCACCAATGAACTTCAATGTAGCTAGGTTTTCTTTCAAAGTATTTTGAAAATCAAATTAAAGTAAATTGTATACAATTCGAGTATATGTAAGCTTTTTGGTTATTGTATACTTAAAAAATCAATTAAAAAGAATAATAAAATGGAAATATACCGCTTTGCTTTGTTTTCTATATATTTCTTTAAACATTTATTTCAGTATCAAGATTTTCTTATCAAATGTTGAAAACCTGTTAAACTGTTATCTAATTTGACAGTCTGTGTCTTTATTTTATGCTTTATTCCTCTTTTGATATGAGTATGCACCGAACAGATAACAAAATTCAAGTTCATTAGTTGCATGTAATTATCTGACATTAAATCTCTATATTTAAAGAGTGCCCTGTGGGATACATGGGCCTCAACTGTTCCATGGAGTGTCGCTATCCTGGATATGACAGATTCTATCAGGAGCAATGTAACTGTTCAGAAGAGTTCTGTGACATATCAACAGGATGTCTTGGTAACTACCCTAACAAAAGTATACTATAGTTAACTATAGTTTACTTTCGTTAAATATAGTAAATTCTTTGACACTTAAGATTAGAAAGAAATTTTTTTAGGGTATTCCTGATAAAATGACTGCCATCGATCTCAATTCTTTTATTAAAATTAATGAAAAATGTCACAGACAATTTGTAATTTATTAATTATATATTATTTGTCTTTTATGGTCTGTGTATGAACGAAATATAATAACATTTACTTTATAAACAAACGTTTGCCTACTTAACTTGAAGAGATGAAGAGATACTCCCAGATAAAAACTCTACAGAATCTAGACAAGAGGACAACAATTCAAATATGGAGCCCACAGTAGCACCAATTCTTATCGGTGTTATAGCTTTCATGACGTTCTTGGTACTAGCTATTGGTGGAAGAATAATCTGGAAAAGTGTAAAACAATCTAACTCAAGGCTGGTTCAAGGACGGCAAGAGATACAGAGACTTGAGAAACAGTTGAATAGAAAAAATGATGGAAATGAAGGCACGAAGGAAAATCTTTACGAAGACATGGATGGACAGAATACAGAAGAGGGGGAAAGAAGATTTACTTTCTTCAGAAAATAATTACATTGACAAGCTGGCTTACCTAAAGAAAGAAAATAAATCTGACAATCGGGAATCCAATCACTTCTACGATGCCTTAAAATCACGAAAGCTATTCAAACTATTATCTGTTAAAAAAAAAAAGATAGATATGTATTTAACATGTATAATGGTTAGCAAATAAATAAATTAAAACTAAAAACTGAAAATGAAAGCAAAATAAAATTGCTTGTGCAAGTACACAATTATTTAAGATTGAAAGCTTTTTGTAAAACAAATAATTCCTAGTTATAGATCTTTTTCATTTGTTTATGTTGCCTCTCTCTCTCTCTCGCCTAAAAAGAATAATTTCATGTAAATAATTTAATACACAATGAATGAAAAATTTCAAAAAAAAAAAAAAAAAAAAAACGAACAAAAAAAAAAAAAAAAAAAAAAAAAAAAAAAAAAAAAAAAAAAACACTTGCCTTTGAAATTAAAGATAGAATGAAAATTTCAACATAACGTGGATATTTGTTTGTGTTAAGGTTATCAATCGATAATGGTTATGGACTTATTGTAGTATTTATCAGCAGGTTTTGATGTTGTGTCATACATGTAGCATGACATCATCAAGCTTTCATCTAACTAAAGAAAAAAAAGTACTATAGTTTACTATAGTATTTTCTTTAGGGTTAGTGGGGATCACCTGCAGATTTTCTGGAAAAATATCTGTAAGAAAAAAAATAGGTTTTCCAGCGGAATACCCCCTTCAGAAAGAACAATCTTTTGTCAAATTTATATATGGATCCTAATGCATAGTGTTAAGTGTCCTCCAAGGTCAGGATGTAGAAAAAAAAATAATAAAAACAAAATTTGTTTAGAAGTGGAAACTAGGGTTGGTGTCACATGCGGTTTAAAATAAAACTAGCATGAATATAATGAGAGTTTCAAAGTAAAATACATATCCCTGTCTATGTGATAACTTTTCTATCAAAGCAATATCTTATGTGTTATAGGTAATTCATGTTCATCGTTTACATTCTTAAAAACTTCACACATACGTAAAAACGAATATTAAGGTTTATATTTTATGAACATTGGAATGCATTTACTATAGAAAGAGTTATTGCGGGTGCATTATCCTCGAAGGTTGTTTGCGTAGCCAAATAAGATGAGGCAAATGCAAGTGATTACTAGAAATGAGAATTTTTTGATAAATGTCGAGTCGGAATCGTCCGTTGGTGAAACCTGGTCATTTTCGTTCAGATTGACTTGCTTTTCAGTTTCTTTTAGGACGCCGTGAAAAATACATGTGCATTGCATAGCTTCAAATTATTAACGGCTGCTTCCACCCCTCCAATTTTGCTTTCTTTTGTCGTAGAAATTCAGTTTAGTACATCTTTTTTGTAAGTGTTGTTTTGTTTTTTTTTTAATTTGTTTTAGATAGTTTTTAAGTCCCAGGCCTCCAGAAGAGTTTGTTATATTTTATGTAATTATTTAAGCCATTTTTTAAAAAATTTTATCAATATTTAGTTATTAATTATGCCTATATTTTGGCTTTATTTTCTTCATTTTTTTTAGAGGCACATCATAATAGCAAATGCATATTTTTTTTTTAATGGATTCTAATACCAATTCTTTAAGAAATAAAGTTAGCGTTTTCGTGAATATGCAGGATAACATCCGAGGTCGAGGAAAGTTCAAACAACATTTGAGACCGAGGAGGTTATCCTGCATCATTGACGACAACAAGAACTTTATTTCTATTCTATTCTATGAAAAGTACTAAAATACATTGATCGCTTCTTCTATAGAGAAACGAAATAGGTAACCATGTCGCAATTAGGCTGTTCCATTTAACACAAGAGGGCCAACTTGTGTATCACTTGCGCAATGGAATGCAGACGATTTGAGCTTTCACTGGATTAAATTATCCTTTAATTGTCTTTAAAATTGTTTGTTATATATACTGATTATTTTTTTATGATTGTAAAATAACAAGATCAGAGGTCTATTTTATTGCTTTATCAGTAATATCGCAGAATATACATGTAAATGTTGTGGGGAGGACCGTGGAACAGCTCAATTTAGCTATAAAACGGCATTTATTAGCTATTTCAGGCAATACACATTATTTAGACTGCGAAAGACGACACATCGATATGGTCTAAATAAGTATTAGATTCTAAAGTTAAAAATTCATTTCAACTGCACAGTTTTGACAAGTGTTTTTGATCGGATTAATTTTCGATGACGTTCGTGATTGATTGGAGAATAATCTACTTGGCATTTATTTAATCTCGGCAATAACTGTAGTTGAATGCATAAAACATTATAATTATTTGCAATAATTAAAGGCAATTAGTGGTAACGTATGAAGTATCCAAGTGTTTGTTGTGTGTGGTTTATACAAATAGAGAATGAAGGTTGTTTCATTAAGTGCTAGTATATTACACTAATCTGCGTTCGTGGCTGATTATCAGAAATTTTAGGGATTGAGTAAGTTTAATCGCAGGAATTCGCCTCTTGCACTTAACGTTCCAATGATTGCCTCATCCGAAAGCCTGAATCGTTAGCTTCGCTTGGCGAGGTACTTATCTATTTATTTATATCGATTAAGGTTTGTTGCGATCGAGGCAAGAACACACAACATTTCGATTACTGAGGGAGCGTAATAACAACTTGACTATTGTAAAAGTCAAACTAAATGTTTAAAGAAATGATACAGACGTCGTATACTGTAAAAACGGAAAACACTGTAACAATATGTTCAGAGAATATTTTAAACTCTGTGTTTTGACGACATTTTTCTAAGATATGTTTTATAAGCTTGCGAATGTCTCAATAAAAGCCTTATGTTGCATGCCAGATACATTGAAACCAAATTGCAGATCAGATAATGTTCAGGAACACGATACCTTGCAGGAACTTAGAATAGACGTTGATAATTGTATGGTAGATATAAACTTCATGTATGAAAATTACTTTTTTTAAAGAATAGGAAAAGTTCAATGAACAGCACTATAAGTATTTACACTACAGCACATTGTGTAGTATCAATTTTTGAGAACTTAATAAAAGAAATTATATACATCGGATTGGAAAAACTAGCAAAAAAAAAAAAAAAAAAAAAAGAAAAAAAAAAAAGAAATATATATATATATATATATATATATATATATATATATATATATATATATATATATATATATATATATATATATATATATATATATATATATATATAAAACATTGATATAATGTATGTTGTTTTTACGTCCCGTTCGAGAATTTTTCACAAATATAGAGACGTCACGAATACCGGTGAAGAGCTTCAAATTTAGACCTTTACTAGGCACTCAAAGCCATTGAGCAGCTAGGGTTCTTTATGGTGCCAACGCATACCGTGACACAAGGCCTCGGATTTTTAAGGTCTCATCCGAAGGACCATCAAAAAGTGATGACAAGTTAAAGAGTTTGGTTTTGAACTTTATCCGGGAAGACCAACGTCTAACTGTTCGTGAAGTCGCTGACATGATCGGAGTAGTGAAATCATCTGTTCAGAGAATTCTCCCTGATCTATCGATGACAAGAGTATGTGCTAGATGGGTACCTCGGCTACTAACTGAAGATCAAATACAGTGCAGACTTTCTTCGTCAAACGAATTTTTAAAACTCCAAAGAAAAGGTGACTAATTTCTGAACAAAATCATGGACGAAACCTAGCTGCATTATTTCGAGCCTGAAGGAAAGCGTCGGTCAGGTGTTTGGAAAACTCCCAGCGCGCAGTCTCCCAAAAAAACTGAAGCTGTTAAATCCATGGACAAAGTCATGTTTATTTTCTTTATGGACAGCCAAGGCATCATCTTTTCCTAAGCCTTCCCAAGTGGAATAACAGTAAATGCTGGTTATTACTCTAAGGTTATTGTACAAAATACTTCATCATGAAATCAATATTCTAAAAGACATTTTCAAGAAGGAGGGGGGTTAAAAGATTTTAAGACTGATTGATTGATTGTATGTTGTTTTACGTCCCATTCTAGAATTTTTCACTCATATAGAGTCGTCACCATATACCTGTGAAGGGCTTCAAATTTTGTTTGATCTTTTCTCGGCATTCAGGGCTATTGAGCAATGAGGGATCTTTATCGTTCCAACGCCTTTCAGGACACGGGGCCTCAGTTTTTAGGGTCTCATCCGAAGGACCCGCAACTTTCACTTCAAAGTGCCGAGCGCATGGCAAAGGAACAGTTGCTACCCACTTTTTATCGACTTAGGTCAGTCGCTGCCGAGATTCGAACTCACGACCTCCCGATCACGGAGCGAGCGCTCTACCGACTGAGCTACCGTGAATGGTAAAAGATTTTAAGATTGCTTTATATAAAAATTAAATGATGAAGTATTTTATTAAAGAAAATGGAAATCAAGAACCAAAAATCTTAGTCATAAATATCATTTATTATGGTTGTCCCCCATGTTATTCTCCAAGCTTTGCGGAAAAAAAGAGCGGTATTGACAAAAAAAAAAAAAAAAAAAAAAAAAAAAAACACGGAGGAGATGATTTATCATCGAGACAATGCTTCAAGCCACAGGGCAGAGTAAACAGAACTGGAATAAGACCTCTTGGGATTTCGGAGACTCAAACATCCACCCTACTCGTCAGACCTCGCTCCCCTGGATTTTGAGTAGTATTTTCCTGCCTTGAAAGGACATTTGCGAGGACAGAGATTTCAAAAAGTGTCCAAATTCAACAAAACACTTGGACATGAGTTGTTCAGAAATGGGTTCAATGCATGGGAAAAACGGCACAAAAATGTCTATCACATTGTAGGCGCTGTTTTGAAAAGGAATGAATGGGGCGTTCATTTCATGTATAAAGATAACGAATGACGTCATTACGTTGCCTGCGTTGCGCCGACAGCACTTATGTAAGGTTCGCTTTAAAAACATAATTGAATTTTGATTTCCTATCGATATATATTTCACTAAAACGTAATAATTTCATTAACAGTGTAAATAATGAAACGACTTGCACTTGT